GAGAAAATGACTGGCCCAAGGTCACCCAGCTGCCTTTGTGCCTAGGCAGGACTAGAATTCAGAGTCTCCTGGTTTCTAGCCTGATGCTTTAACCACTACACCAAACTGGCTTTATTTGAGGGATACTTACCAGCAATTGGTGAACTCATAGCCCAAAGTGGGCAGAGCCCCACCACCACTCCAGACACATACACACACACACAGATGTGAAGCCTTATTGCAACATGAAAGGTGGCAGCACCAGGAAGGAAGAGCTGGCTGTTCCCCCTCCAGGGGCAAATGCAGGGAAGGGGTCCCTATGCTTTAGTGTCTAAAACATTCATTACAGGTAGTCCTCGCTTACCGACTGCTCGTTCAGCAACCGTTCAAGGTTACGATGGTGCTGAACAAGGAGATTTATGACCAGTCCTCAAAGTTGCAGCTGTCACAGCATCCCATGGTCACGTGATCGCCATTTGCAACCTTCACTGCCAGCCTCCAACAAGCATATTCAATGGAGAAGCCAGCAGGAAGTCACAAGTTGTGGTCACATGATGTTGCACTTAATGACCGTGGATGATTCATTTAATGACTGCAGCCAGAACTGACATCGTAAGTTGGTGGAGATAAAGTATTTCACCACTGACAAAGGGCTTGAGCCTTGAGAGGGAAGTGGACCCATAGCCAGGACCCAGTAGCCCAGAGAGGCAACCCCCACAGGGCTGAAATTCTCCATATACCTCTTTCAATGTATGTTAGGGTGTGCTCTTGATTACTCCAGCTCAAGTGAGTTGGGTGTAGTGACGAAGGTACTGGATTAGAAGCCAGGAGACTGTGAGTTCTAGTCCTCCCTTAGGCATGGAAGCCACCTGGGTGACTTTGGGCCATTGTCTATCTCAGTCCGACCCACCTAAGAGGATTGTTGTTTGTGGGGAAAATAAGAGATGGGAACATTAAGTATGCTGCCTTGAGTTGTAGAAGATAAAGGGAAAGAAGAAGGAGAAGGTGAAGTTTGCGCAAAATAAAATGCAATAATAATATAATCCACGCATGGCAAAAAGACCCAGTAGGAATACTGCTTTGCTGTAAAAAAAAAAAAAAAAGCCACATACTGTTTCTGAAGCAATCTGATTCAATGTGGGATCCAACGGAATCCATTGCCATATCCCAGACACCCAGTTCCCTTTTTCCCTACTAAGCAGCAGACTGAAATACAGACAGTCCTTTGCTGATTGCTCCTCCTCCGCATCAGACCTCTTTGGCAGGAATGCACGAATTCCACATGTCAGTCTGTATTAAAGTCACAGGAGCAGAAGTCATGAAAAACAGAAGATCCTAAAGCCAACTGAAGTATGCCCAGGGCAGAGAATGGGGACAAAAGCCTCCGATAACCCACGGTGTCCTAGGACATGATTGCCGACAATATTGGCCAGGAACTCATTTCCCACTCTAGCAGTAGCTCCTAACCAGACACCTGAAGTTCCAGCTACATCAGGGGAAGCCACCGTGGCCGAAGTGAGCAGATGGCCCAGGGCCAGGTCCTCCAGTGGCTTTCACTGGGCTGGTGCTGCCCATTTACTCATCTGCTCTGCTTGGGACACAGATGTCTCCTGTGGTGATGGCAGCTCCTGTAAGCAGAGCTTGGGAGGGGATGAGGTCTTCCTAAATCTGCCTTAAGTCCTGGGCCAGGGTCATAGGCTGAGGCTTGTGGTAGCTCCCCAGCAGAGAGCACGGGTGGTCTAAAATGGTGCAGTGGCCCAGGAGGCTTCTAAAAGTGTTCAGCTCAAAGAGGCAGGATTTGTTAGAGGTAAAAGGTAAGTTTGAAAATATAATGTATGCCGATTGAAAACACCGGCAGCTGCAAGGAAGGGGGAACTGATGTCTCTCTGTTCTTCCAAAGTTTAACTGTGGTCTGTTTCTGCTCAGTCTCTCCTATTCCAGAGTTGGGAGGGTGGTGATAGAAGTTCAAAGAGAAGGACACCGTCCCCTCTGGATTTTAGCAAAGGGGAAGGCTTCCCCGTTATCTGAACACTTATTTTTAACAGGTAGAGAATTGCAGCTGTCAATCAGAAAGCACCTTAGCTGATCCGTTATGAGAACTGTAATCAATACATTGACTAATTCATTGATTTTCTGCTGGTCTGCTTAAATGGGGGGCACTCTTCCCCTTGACTAAAACAAATTCCATCAAAACGACTGCGCTTAAAATAAAATGGCGAACAGTTAAACAAATCAGCCCTTACCATTTTGAAGATGAACTATTACTAGGTTTGTCTCTTGCCAATGTAGGTTGTGCTACATGGTTTACTGCGCTTAAAATAAAATGGCGAACAGTTAAACAAATCAGCCCTTACCATTTTGAAGATGAACTATTACTAGGTTTGTCTCTTGCCAATGTAGGTTGTGCTACATGGTTTCCGTAGTTTTTCAGCTGCCAACTTCTCTGTCTGCCACACCCATGCAGCACCAACTCTGCGATGACCTCAAAAGCAAACATATTTTCCGTGTGGTTCATGGTCTGAGTCATCTGAAACCCGGAGAATTTGGGTGGGGATGACTCAGAATGCAGCATTTGAC